AAGGGTGAATGCATTTTACTTACTGATAAGTAAGTAAATAAGTTCCCTTATTCTGGGAACTTGACAAAAATTGCATGGGGCTTCCTCAAATTAATGTTGCAAAGCAATTGACAGTCCCATTAGTTTATATGAGAGTTGTTAAAACGGTTAACGCAGGGTGAGAGGGTGGTCAGCGATGAATTCATTTAAAATTGATGTCTCTTAATACTTTCTTACTTGCTAAGGATGAAGTTCCCCAGTCATCTCTCAGTACTTGCTTTCTGCCACATTGATTTCTCAGATCTAAAGGTCTGGGCGAGGAAGGACGTTGGCATTTCACTTTTCCCAGCTGACTTAGATCAGGCTTCCATATTCTCCTTCCAGGTTCTAATGCTCTAAGGCAATTAAAAAGAATTTATAACAACTAATGGTCATCAGAATTTTAAAGATTCCTCCAATGTTTGTAACCTGTGCCAAGGTAAGTATATTCAGGTCTATAATTACTTATCCATAAATCTGAAATCCAAAAAGCTCAGAAAAAAAATAGAAGTTTTTTTCAATATGTATGGTAGAAATTAATTTGGTGACAAATCTGACCTGAACTGATGTAATGCTATTTATAGTCTGTAATAATCTTGTGTAGTGTGATTATTTGGAACTATAGCTACAGAAATATTAACATTTGATTAGGAGTGCTGTCCCAGACTTTGCTGTGAGTGTTACAAAATACATGTAGGATAACTTTTGAATATATGCAAAATTATGAATTCCAAAATACATCTGGCACCAAGATTTGGATTAAAGAATTGAAGACCTGAACTATACTGTGAAAGTAATGTTGTGTCACTTACCTGCCAATTTTAAGACAAAGTCATTGTGTCAAGAGAGATGAAAAAACCATGGATGCAACTTTAAATAGGACAACAGCAGTGGCAGTGACCTGGCTTGCTCTGTCCTTCATCATAAAGCAAGTCTTTTGCTCATTTTAGAGTGTCCCCATTTGAACCCCACTGTTCTGCGGCAAGAGCATTAAAAATGAAGCTGAGCCTGATTACCAACATATTGCTTTATTTCTTGGTGGTAGTAAATTAAGGCTTTCTAGAGTCATACAGCACGCAGTGATTTGAACATTAGAATTAAAAAAACAATGAGCATTCAATTTAGCAGAGCCAGGAAGGAAGCAATGTTTTAAAATAGATAAATTTCCTAGTGAGGCCTTTTGCTTGGTCTCTAAAATCTGCTGAGCTGTTTCCCCAGTAACCTCCGTCATAGATTCCTACCCCGAGGGAGAAGAGAATGGATGAAGAGGAGACTGGGAAAAAAGGAGAAACTGGGTGAGACAGTACATGCTGGGCAATCATTGTGAAGTCAGCTGTGTCTCATGTTTGGAAGACAGTGTAGGTGACGCGGTCAGGAGGTGTCGAGAAAGATGTTCACAATGGTTCAGGGAGCCATTTGGATCTCTCTGCTCATTCCAGGAGTATTAAACCAACTCACTTGGAAGACCCCAGGGCCAAGGTTAGGGACAATCCTTTGTGACTCTCAAAGTTCGAAACTTTAAGTAGGGTCACAAGTCCAGAGCAGAGGAATGCTACCTTAAACTTCTTTCATGGTTCGAAACTCTGTGGCCATCACTAGACACTGCCCTCCAGCTAAACAAATGATTTTCCCCCATGGCATGTAGCCTTGATTGCACATCTAAGTTGGTGACGATGTTGATTGGACAGGCCACGTTTAATGTAACAGGAAAAATAAAAGACACTTCCTGGGCAGATGCTACCTCATCACACTAACTTTTCCTTCCCAACAGAAGACTACAGTACGCACGGGAGCCTACAGTGGCAGTGCAGTTGTCGAGGGTATGCAAGCTGGGTCTGAAACAAATTCAGCGAGCTTGGCTTGGAGATGCAGAGGTTCTGGCTTTGGACGGTGGACCCTTTGAGAAGGAAATGGATGAGCTGTTTCAATAGTGATGAAGGAGGGGCCTGGCCAGAGAATAATTCGGGAAAGGGCGTCTGTTAATTAATAAAAGCCAACTTAATTTCATGAAAAGGAGCAATGGAATTTCTTCTGGCTACCTGATTTCATACCAACCAGGCTAACATATAGATTTCTATTCTGATAGGACCGTTTAAAATTCCATCCATTTAAAATACATATTTTGTGATGATTTTAATGTTCTATTCAAAGGGTCTGGTTGGTGGACTAGTGTCTAAGTTGTATCAGTGCATTTTCTCTTCCATTTGCCTGGCATTTTTGAGTAAACAGAATTTAAACACCTGGAAGTCTGTTTTGCATTCTTTGATGGAAAACATGCAGACAGCCAAGGAGGAGGTATACAAGATGGCAATTTGCACTATTAAACATTTACAAACTTAACCAGATAGGCTTCATGTGATGAAGTCTGGATGCATAAAGAAATAAATAGATGAGAAGAGTCCAAATGGGATCTGAATGACAAAGGACCAAGGTGTCTGTCCTTGCCAGCTGCAGGACAGATGTGCCTGATGCATGCCAGGTGCGCAAGGCGAGGGATTAAGAAAACCTTTGAGGACGTGTGTTTCCTTGGGCCTTGCTTGTTAATTAAAAATTGTGAGGGTCTTTCCTCCTACTTGAAAACACTGAGCAAAGCAATTGGACCGGGGGATCTGGGCTCTGCTGTGATTATGGATTCTGGTGCCTCACTAAGAGTGGAGGGGGGAAATGCAGAAAGTACTTGTACAAAGAAATCATAGCATCCAGCAGGGGAGGAGAGGATGTGCAAAGGACTCGCCCACCAAAACACACAGGGACATGGGTAATACTTAGGTGGGAGCCAAAGGACACACAGGACCCTCTGTGCACTGACGTTAGCTCTGCAGAATCGCCTGACAGCACAGAATCAATTCTCTTGGAAGAGGTAGATGCCTGTGTGCTCGGTGCCAAGGTGCTTCTGTTTATTAGTATCTCTGTTCCCTCAATTCTAAAATGAGAATGAAACTAATCTTTGAGCTGGATGGTCTCTGATTCAGTGCTGGAAGTTGCAGCCCAGAGAGGTGAAGTGCTTTGGCCAAGGTCACACAGCTAGTCAGTGGCAAAGCTGGGGAAAAACGAGGTCTCTTCTTCCACCATGCTGCTGGCCATAAAGGATTTATAAAAAGGTTTGGGAAGCACTTGTACGTGCAAAGCGCTATGAGATTTACTTAACCAGAATTTGCTTGGATGTGGGATTGAGGAAGGTAATTTAGGCCAATCAGTTTAAAGAGGAGATCAGGAGGGCATTATTGTTCTGATGCCTTGTTGCTGTTGCTGCTGCTGTAGGAGGAGGGGCTGAGGTGGGATGGGGAGTAAGATGCCTTTTTAAAGACACCGCAATCAGCCTGCTGAGGTACATCTTTTGTGAGAAGAGAAATTGCCTACAAATGACCAGACCAAAAACAAATCTGTTTGCTGTAACAGAAATTTGTCTCCCACCCTCCCCCCACCCCTCATTTCTTTAACCTCTGTTGCCCATGAGAAATTAGGAAAAATAAAAGCCGGATTCCTAAGAATCTTCCTGGGGGAAAGAGCTGTTATGAGTGGCTGTCGATGCGTACATATGCTGCTTTTTTTTTTTTTTTTAAAAAAAAAACGTTTTGTTTCGTTCACGTTTGTATGAAAACAACGCCGGACGAAAGCTGTCCCTTCAGAAGAAGGCCGGGTTGGTGTGCTCGATGACGCAGCGCTTGCAGTGGCGTTTCACAAACCGCAGGGCCTCCACGGAAACCTCGCAGTCCTGGACATTGAGCATCTGGAGGTCGAAGCAGTTGGCGGCCACGATCTGCAAGCCCTGGCCGGTGATGCTCTCGCAGGACTTGAGGCTGAGCCGCTTGAGGTTGAAGCAGTTCAGGGCCAGGCACTCCAGGCCCGTGTCGGATACCAAAGGGCATTTGCCTATGTCCAGAGACTTGAGTTTCGTGCAGTTCTTGGCGAGGTACTCCACGCCGTGGTCCGTGATGCCCTCGCAGCCCCGCGCGTTGAGGTAGCGCAGCTTGCTGCAGTACTTGGCCACGTAGCGGATGCCCACGTCGGTGACCCGGCCGCAGTGGGCGATGCTGAGGTACCGCAGGCGGGACTCCAGCTTGGCGATCTCCCGCAGGCCGAAGTCGCTGACGAAGCGGCAGTCGCTGACGCTCAGCTCCTTGATGGAGGTGCAGTAGATGACCAGGTAGCGGAGGCCCTCGTCGGTGAGGCGCACGCAGCGGCGCAGGTACAGGTGGGTCAGCTGCGTGCAGTGCGCCGCGATGGTGTGCAGCCCTTCGTCCTCCAGCACGAAGCAGTCCGTCATGTCCAGGTAGCGGATGGAAATCTGTTTGCCATGCAAGGGGGACAGTTTAATGGAGGCCTCCCGGGTCAAGCTGATGCAGGTCACTTTGGAGCACCCTACACAAAGAGACAGAACATGTGCTCAGAGCAACCTGTGAGCATGGGAACCTCCCGGGATGCTCTTCCTGATTCCTGCCCCTCCCACAAGCCCAGTCTCTGCCTAACCTCTCCCTGTGTTGGCCCTAGAAAGTTTTGGCAGCTCGGTAAATGTTGGCTCTTGCCCTACAATAATCTGGTAGCTCCTTGGTCCAAAGAAGTGAGATATGAGCAACAAAGCTTGGGCATGACCTTGGTTTGGCAGAAAGAACACTATGTTGGGAGTAACACCTGGTTCAGGTCTACTTTATATGGTCTTGGACAGAAGGCTTAACTTTTCTGCATCTCAAGACTCTACCATATGGGAGAGAATGGCTGAAGCCTACACTAGGGACATAATGAGGAGGTGATGAGATAATGGATATGAACGTACTTTTAAAACTCTATGGGAATATATGTAGTTATTAGTCTAACAAAGTGACTGTCTGGAGATTCAGTTCAACCCTCTTTGGTCAAGGAAGAACAATTGTGTCATCTGGATTATTACTCTAGCCCCTCGACCTCTCTGCCAGACAGGTTCTGACAAATGGAACTCAAATCATGGCACTCTGCACAAAGCCTTGGAATGGAGCCCGTTCACTCCACACGTAAAATAGAGGGTCTAATGAGGTTTCCAAGGACCTGCACCCCTGTGCTCTCTAATCTGATCTCTCACTTCACTCCTCCAGCCCCAGTGGCCTGAGTGTCCCTGCACAGACACCTCAGGTGCTCTCTGGCCCAGGGTCTAAGCACCGGCCTGGGCTTCCCCAGATAGTCCCATGAGCCTGGCCCCACTTTCTTAGGTCTCAAGCCAATGTCAGTTTATTGCACAATTCTTTCCTGACCATGCTGTATAAACCAGCAGCCCTGCTTCAGTCCCCATTAGTTCCAGCACTCTGTATCCCTTGTGGCATTATATATTTACTGGTGCACTTGTTTATTTGCTATCTCCCAACTCAGGAATGTAAGTTCCTGGGAAAGGGGTTGTTCACTGCTGTATTTCTCATACTTGGTACTCACTAAGTATCTGCTGAACGAATGAATGATTTATAGGGGAGAAAGAGTCTTCTGTAGGAGAACTAGATGGGAACAATCCAACTTGCAACATTTAAATGTCCTTAGGATTTTGAGTCTGGCTGAAGTATATCTACACTGAAAGCAGCTGTCTATTTTATAGTTAATTATTATGCCTTTCATTTGTGTTGAACTATAAAGTTTACAAAGGGCTTTTATTAAGATTTTCTTACCCAATTATTAGAACAATCTATTTAATAGA